ATGTCCAAGGAACATTTTAATACCAAAAACTTGCGAGCACCAAATTCTTTGACGACCGGGGAACGAATTTTAGAGCGCGGCGCGCGCTCTTTCGCGCCTAATTAATTATTTTCATTAACTTGGAGTGAGCACTAAAATCGGAAATGCATATATTTCGAAACTACGATGTTCAAGGAACATTTTAGTACCAAGAACTTGCGAGCACCAAATTCTTTGACGACCGGGGAACGAACTTTAGAGCGCGGCGCGCGCTCCGTCGGAACGCATACGACAGTAATACTTAAAATATGTTGTTATATTTAAAATAACGCCATAATTGAAAATGTTTTGGTTTATTTTGGAGCACCAAATTAGCACTAGAATTCCTGTGTACTTCGTTTTTCCATACGAGCTCTGTATATATTTTTTCTATTATGGGGGGGTCCAGCTTTATATGAAGCTGGACCCCCCATTTTTTTTTTTTTTACCGCTAAACGGCTGGAGCACTAAATTTCGGACTAGGGTACTAAATTAGCACCTAATTAGCACTAAATTTTTGACCTATTCCGAACTTGATTTTCGATGGTGGGGGGTCCAGCTTCACAGACATCTGTATTCTGCACGAGTAATCGCATATTCATCGACAGCGAGCATCGTTACTAATTACGATTGGCTATTAATTACCTTGAGAAGAACCCTGACGAGAGAATAAAAGTTGGAGTCGAATGCAAGAGGAGACAGAAGCGTAAATGAATCACAAGCTTCTTTGAAGAAGCAAAAATTAAGACAATGAAGCGTAAAAAGGGCGTTTGTCTCAATTTTTACTTTCTAGAAGCTTCCTTCATAATTTTATTACTCTTATTGTACATTCATGCGATTTACACTCCAATTATCATTTTCGCCAGGAAGAAAACAGCTTTGCAACAGTTGTAAAATTCTTTAATATGATTAGTCTTGCCTTTTCACACGTCACAGTTTGCTAATGATTGTTCTACAATGTACTCTTTGTTTCCTGTTTCTTGCTTTTTACTTTTTGCTTTTTTCCTCCTTCCTCGTTTTATCGACAATTATATTTCTTGATATGTGTTTTCTGTTTCTTCTGAAGTTCGTTAACGTTTATCTCGAGCAACAGAAAACAAAAAACGGGATAAGAAGCAAAAAGGCAAGATACAAAAAATAGCAAAAAGCAAGAAACAGGAAACAAAAAGCATTGTAGAATAGGCTTAAGAGACATTCTGAGGACGTAGACGTCCTCTTCTACTGGACATTCATTCTTAAGCTATTCCTTGACGAACTGTGTTATGTGGGCTTTATAGTCCCTCATTGGATCTAAATTAATGTATAAAATAATCATATATTAAAGAATCTTATAATAACATTTGTAAAGCTGCGATTTTTTTTAAATACAACTATTATGATTTTATTGATACGTATATCTGTGCACAACTCTAGAGCATTGAACTTGGAATACTCATTTCCGTTATTTTTTACTTTTGTCTCATTAACTGGTGCACAAATGATAATTTCGTGTTAATTATACGAAAGAGCAATTTTCTCTGCTGCTTTGAATTTATATTTAATAATTTGGTATATCTCGTCTCATCTTAAAAAGTAATTATTTCGTACATATATACATACAGAATACATACATACGTCATTTGCGATCGAAAGTTGTAGGCTTTCCTTTAATCAAACCGCGTAATTACTCTAATTACGGATCTTTTTACTTAATCGTCCGTTCTTTCCGTGCAATGCACTTTTTGCACAGCTCGCTTTGTGCTGATTCGACGATTTTTGACTCGCGATCAATTTCTCGAGTCGTCCGTACACCGTCGGGACACCTCGACGTAATCGGGGATGCTTAACGACTAGTGGCGGTGCCTCATCCGGAATGGGACATCCGTCGAACATTCCCCGATTATCATACTCCAAATGCGCCCACTGAAAACATGATCGATCGCAAGAATCGAATATGTATACACTGAGAAAAAATGTACTAACTTTTAATAAATATTTATTGGAATATATAATATTAACTTAACATTTATTTATGGTGTAAACAAATGTTTACTAAATAAAAAAAATGAATAAATTAATGATTTTTGTTTCCAAATAAATATGTTTACTTTTATAGTGTAAATATTCAGCTAGTATTATTCAAATAAATATTTATTAAAATTTAATATATTTTTTTCAGTGTATCAATCACATGATGTGTCAAATCATGAAATAAAGTCTTAGTAATATATTTAAATCTTTTCTTTTTTTTCTCGTAACAATTTATAATACTATTATAACTTTTATGTTCTACCTAGATCATTGATTTCCCAAGTAACACTTGATTACGAGACACTGTCGTCTTGACGAAAATTTCATGTCAGTTTTACGTCACTGTAACCATTGCGATTTGGATTTTTTGCAAATTACCTGAAACGCGCGCATCCAAGCCTCGTAGGAACAATTGACAACAAAACCGTAGACTGCTTTCCGAAAATAATCTTCGCAAATCGCGTCCGCAGCCGACCGGACGATTTCCTCGCGAATAATCCGACGATATGGCTGACGTGTTCGTCTTCCATTATTTCCTGCCATTTCGCTATTGGAATTCGAGAGGGAGGAGGTAAAAACTCTTCAGCGATTTCGGAGGTGCGCAACGAATTCGTCGATTTGTTGTTGCGCCGCGAATTCCTTGGCATTTCTTTAATAAAATTCTAAAGTCGGTAGTAAAATCACGAAGACTGTATCTGTACGTTCATTTTTAAACGAGTGACATCGAATTAGGGAATTTATTTATTACTAAAGAAATCACGTGACAGATGTATATATAGTGTCCTTTTCATTTGTGCTAATTTATTTCGCGTTAAGGACTACAAGCAAAAATTGTTCTTAGAAAAATATCCAACAATAAAATTGATTTTGATTGATTTGAATTAAATTTGGTTATTGTTATAACTTAATCATTAACGGTAGAATATTATACGTATTATATGCACATATAAAGTGGGTTAGAAAATTGCTATAAACAAAAGGCCAAAGGTGATGTTGCTCGTAACATTCAATATATATTTTTATTGTCTCAAGATATTGTATGTATTGAAATTTACAAGGCTATTAATAAAAAGATAAATTGCATTAGAAATAAATCGCGTCTAAGTATGAAATGTTAGCTCTGTTTCGTTGATAATATAAAGTTACTTTTTAGCGGTAAATTTCTAATTTAAGGCCTAGCTGTATATTTTCTTTTTTGAAACTGTGAACCTTACGAAAACGTGATTAGAAGCATTAATGTTGTCTTCTTGATAGAATGCGCGTAAAAGTGGAACTGCAATTCATTAGGATATTTTCAGCTCATAAAAGCATTGAAGACGGTCGATTAAGTTATCGAAGTCGATAATAACCCTTTAACTGATGTTGTTAATTTACTTTATTTTCCTTTAAACTCAAATATGAAGTCATTATTTGCAATTATATTTAAATTAAAATTTAAATCATTTTTTATATAATATATAATGCTTTACATAATATGTAATATTCTTTATACTTAAATATATTGTTGTATAAATTTTGAATATCGTTTATATTTGAAACATATACAACTTTGATGGAGAATACATTAAACTTTTTCCTTCTAATTTTTTTATTTTTGCTTTTTCGGATATTCTAATAAATTGTAACTATATTTTAAGAATGCCATGATTATTTTGCTAACAGAATTCAGAAGCACTCAATTTATGATCAAGTTTAATCATAATTATATGCGGTTAAAGGGTTAAACGACTGTTTTCTAGTCGCCTGCAACAATTCGACTGTGAATTAATTGACAGAATTATTATTATTATTAAATTGCAATGAACGACATATATAAGTGCTACACTGTCCTCTTATTATTTATGCTATAGCATGATCTTTCGATAATATTTGTGTAACGTTTTTTTTATCGATAATATAAGCAGATTCGTAATAATACATTAGGCAACCTAGGCGAATGCCTAAGAATGCTAAAAATACTAGTAATCGTACACTGAAAATGAATAAAAGATAAGTGTACTATAAAAGTATTCGTATGCCATTATTTTATTTTGCGATAGTATTAATTGCCCATTACACGTTAAAAAAGAAAATGGAGAAATTATTTTTCATTGAGTTCATAATTTTCCTTCTACAGAATATTCTTTGATATCTAAAAAGGAATATAAAATTTACCAAAAGATTATACTTAATTAAAATCTATATATATATATATATATAATGAAAAAAGATATTTTTATCATATTGCTAATAAAAATAAACGTTACAAATATATGTTGCCGAATGTAATTTTATAAATACATCGGGATAAAACAATATTAATATTTATGTATCTTAATATTTTACATATATTTAACATTTATATTTTTTTAGATGACTGTATCTATTATTAATTAATAAAATGAACTCGAAAATGATATTCAAAGAAACAAAGATAATAATGCATGAATATTATTTTATTGTATAACGTTTTACGATCTATTCATGTTTACATTCTTAATTGTTAATTAAAACATACAGAAGAAAAAAGGCTTTATACGAATACTTTTTGTACTTACACATGAACTTCGTTAATGATTACAATCGATCCTTGAATTTTCTTCTATAAAGGAAAGTAAATTTATAATTGTATTTAAAGTATCTAAACTGTATATAAGAAAATTGAGAATATTTGCTTCGGAGAGCTAAAAACATTAGAAAGTTTCGTATAGGTATATTTTATAAATAATGTTTTACTGAAACATATCTCTCTTTATTTTTATTGTTAAAATAATAGATTTGCAATTGCATGTTAAAAAGAACATTTTAGTTGGCAAAGTATATCGCCTAATATAAATCCGTTTGTGTAGTTACGTAGATCTTGCTATCAGCTCACTTCAATATCTTTCCGTATACTCAAAGCTGTAATTCTCTCACGTGTGATTAATTCTAATTGGACGAACGCGATGCTTAGACGGTTCCACTACGTTACGAAGAAATTACATATATTTCCCGTTACTCGGAGAAATTCGCGCCGCAAAAATTATCTTGCTTTATTTCTCGTTTCTCACTTGATTATCACATCCTTAGATCGAGGTTTGAGAATCTTTCAATCCTTAAATCCTCGAATGCTTCTAATCGCTTGCTTATCACTAATGGATTTGCAAATACTCGAATTTCATGCTCTTTAATTCCTCAAATTGCCAGTTTGTCGTAGCATAAATATAACAGATTTTTTTTAATGTGCAATAATTGTAGATTTGTGGTTTAAAGTTTCTAAAATTTCTTAGATTTCTTATTTTCCATTTAACTAATGTTAAATTTTTTGATTTTTTAGAACTGTTATATCTGTAAATTGAAATAATTAGATTTTTTATCACATAAAGTTAGGTATGTTTTAAAAATTTGTGAAATATAAAATTTTTCAATTTTTTGGATATAGTTGCCATATCTTTAAATTTTTGGTTCTTAAAATTTTTTGGAAGATTCTTGAATTTTTATAATGTTGAGTCACATATATCATTGTAATCCTTTATTTCTTCATATTTTGAAATTTTTTATTCTTGGAATTCTTCAATTTTCATATTTGTGGAAACTTGCTTTTGTAATATTCTCGTTGTTAGAATATTCGCACTCTTGAACCTTAAGATTTAATTTTTAGATGTCACGTAAAATTCGAACATACGAATTTTCTGATCTTTAGGTTCTCAAGATCTTTAGATGTTCAATTCTTTAAATTTTAAAAGCATTTAGCCCTAGAGGAACTCTTTGATCTTCATATCCTAGGAGCTATGAATCATTGGATTGTTTGAATCCGCGGATTTCCAAATGTTTACATTCTTTCAGACTCTTTCTGAACCCTACAATTCTAGGCTTGTATCTCCTTGGATTCGTGAAATTTTCGAATCCTCGGATCCTGGAGCACTCTTGTATCCTTGGATCTCCAAGAATTCTTCCCTTGCCTTCTAATAGTCGATATGACTCTTTCCTCACGGTACGCGTATACGGTGGATCTTTTCTTGTTTTAATTGGAAGACCAACATCCATCGTGAAGGTCCTTAAGCACTAACGTCGATTATGACACCACCGCTTCCGGGAAGGCCGGTTTCTCCCATCAAGGCCAAATCAACTTCCTTTGCGGCCAATCTACCTTCTGCAATCGCCCACACTACGAGAGACTGTCCACGTCTGCAATCTATTTTATAAAAATTCATATAATAACAAATATATAATATTCACGTCTTTGTAATTCATAATTACTAAACCAATTTAGACAATTAATGTGAAGATTATAATACTATCAATTTTAATTGGTGCAATGACTTTTATAATCAAAAGTTTGTGTGAAGTACAAGGTATAAAATTATTTTTAAATTATAATCGATACTAAGTTTATGATGCAAGATATGGACAATTTTTTGGTTGACAAATAATAAATTAGATAAAAAACAAACATTTTTTTATATAACGTATTTGGCGTAATAATATTATATACTAACCGCCTGCCGCATATATTTTGGATAAACTGGTACAATATTTCCCGACTGGAGTCTTATAGTTTCCTCTTTCATCCAATTCGGCGTTCACTTCCGTAGCGATGTACTTCTCGGGTCCAAGGAAACCCATTGCGAGCAATACTAGATCGCATTTGTACACTTTCTCCGAATTTGGTACGTCTTCCATTTTCCATCGACCATTCTCATCTTTCCGCCACTCCACGGTCGCCGTCCTGATGCCACACACGTGACCCTTTCCGTCATCCAAGAATTCCTTGCTCACTGTACTGTATCTACGCGGATCTCGGCCGAATTTCAGGGATACCTCCTCGTGACCATAATCGACCTTGAACACTCGCGGAAATTGAGGCCACGGGTTATCTTTGCCTCTCTGGGCTGGTGGTTCGGGCAAGATTTCAAAGGTTGTAATTGACTTTGCACCCTGACGTAGTGAAGTTGCTATACAATCGCATCCGGTGTCGCCGCCTCCGATAATGATAACGTTCTTGCCTTTGGCTATCAGCCGCATATCTAAGGGCGTTGCATTACCCATTTGTTTCTTTTGCCAGTGCTCTAGGAAGCTTACGGCAAAATGTATTCCCTCCAGCTGTCTACCTGGAATCGGCAGATCACGAGGCCATGTCGCGCCCGTACATAACATAATCGCGTCGTATTGTTCCTGAAGTTCCTGCAATGATATACATATGCGTGAGTATCGGAAAATTATTATATAAATAAATTTTGGAGACAAAGTACAAGTAGGAAATGAAAAAATCTGTTAGAGAGTATGTAAACATTAGAAATATACACATAGAAATGAGAAAATAATTCGTCATATGACGAACATACATGTGTAAATATAAGCAAAAATAAAACAACGTTAATTGGCTCTTTTATATAGACAAAGATCAAATATAAGCAAAAATATTATCCAATTTTTTTTGTTGCACGGAAAGAACAATTTTGCTGAAGTATCTAAAAATTTAGCTAGATACAAACCTGAAAATAATTTTGTTGTGGACTATCAAAATGATGTATGAAACACTTAAGTATGATGAGCAATGCTGCAAAAAATTTTGACTTCTAGCAACTAGTTAGAACGTTCTACATAATTATTTTGATAGAAAGAGAGAGAAAGTCTAACATTATTTTCTGTATCCAATTATATTTTTAGATACTTTAGCA